CTAGAACACAACAATGGCCGACACTGATATTAGTATTGCCTACTCCATCATTGAAGCTTTCTAACTATTCTTATTGTGCAAATACACAGCTGCGTGCGCTTGCAATTTTATAGCCGTGCACCAAAACAAATACGTGAAAGAAGCCGACTAGACATTTAACTTTTAAATCAACCATCTGCCAATAAAACCAGGATATTGAGTTTGATCTTCAAATTTATAGCCTTTACAGCCAGAATCACAAGGTCACCAGTGACAGTTACAATTTGTATAGCAGGTAAAAGTATATCTTACGCTTACGGCTATTAATAGCACCTACCTCGTCTACTTGACGTAGAATCGTTCCCTCGGCAAAGAACAGCGGTTTCCTCGAGTCGACTACGATGTAGTCAAAGTAGGACCTCCAGTCTCTGTCGGGTGTGTTCAGTAGATAACGACATTATCTTCTGCAAAAACAGACGCATTGCAGAGTTCCAGTGTGAATTGCATTAAAGAACACGACTTGCACGCTACTCACGCCCGAGCCACAATTCTATACGTAGTTAACGACGTTATCACGGAGATAGCTGAATGCTCGGAAATTAAGTTCGAATTGGTGAGGAATATCCGATTTTGTTGTTGTTCACACGAGAGATTGCATGGCTTTGAGAAATTGGATAGTGTGTGGATGAGACAATCATTGTGTTACGTGACGCGTGTAATGGACAGTCACAGTGAGAACACAAAGTCACTTACCTGCGTATACTTGAAGTCACTGTTCGTGAGCAGGAAGAGCTTGGCACCATTATCACCCATCCTATTAAAGTTTAAAAAAACATCACATGAAAGACGCAAACTAGTTCATTTTTCACTAAATTTTCTGTTAAATTAGACAATATTTATGCTTGAATTATAATCATGACTAATAATTGAAAATATTTTTTCTTAAATTTCAGAAAGGCACTATGATTAGCACAATTCTTCATGCTACCCTGTATGAGCTAATGGAGTCAGAGTGCACTTCAAACTTCTGCACATCATACACATAGCACACTTTTAACATTATTCATAACATTCACATAAAGGATCACAATATTATATTTTTCACTATAAATGTTGACTATATCAGAAATTTTTAAAGCTAAACACTTACTTTTATTGTTCAATGTTATATATACTATTATGCTGTATTACATTATATCCCACTACTGTGTGTATCATGTACAAGGAAATCGGAATAGCTCACTTTTGTCACACCATTACAGGGAGCCATGAGCAATGGTGTCAACCATGATTACAAGCAAACAACACATCTGACGTTATAAAAATCAGCTTGCGGCTACGAAGCATTAGAAATGCGAATACATCACAAATAATGCCCAATCTAACCGATAATAACAGTGAAATCTCGAATATTCTCTTCTTTAAATTACTGGTAAGTGGAAACCGCGTATATTCCATGCAGATACAGTGCTGTATGTTGTTACTACAGGATGTTAGACGAAGAGACAAGATGGCCACGACTGGTGTGTACCATAGTGAATCAGCAAAGACAGTTGATGCTTCACCAGCATGTCAATCACATCATGAACATCTGCAACAATATGGAATACATGACACTGTATGTCGCACACTGACCGTGTCCCGCGCGCGCGTGCAGTGTCACTAGCATTAATCAGTAAATTACACCGAGACTTGCACGAGATGCAAGACAAACAACATGGAAACAGATATGTATACTAGCTAATACATTAACCATGTAATTGCACATTAACAAACCAAATATCAGCTAATTGATTAATTTTTGACTTGGCAGAGTTTACTAATTAGCGTAAACATCCCTCTCTTCCTCTCTCTCTCTCTGTCGCTCTGTCTTCCTCCATGCCTTCCCCCTCTCTTTCTCTCTCTCTCTCTCTCACTATCCCTCTCTTCCTCTCTCGCTCGCTCTCTCTCTCTCTCTATCCACATGTATTATTCTGTGTTTTGTGTGTGTGCACGTGCAAGGAGGGTATATGTATGTTTCTCTGGGTGTAGGTATAATTTGAGTAAGTGCATTGTAGCATCTAGTTACTTTAGTCAGGCAATGTGAATCATGTGTGTGCGTGTATCTATAGCTGTCGCACATACAGTAGAACGCTCAATCTGATATCTGACGTGACCTTATTGTGATGAAGTGAAATGCAGCAATGCACACTGCAGCCACTGGTCTGATTGCAATCGTTGATTTCTTGCTGAATCTGGTATTAGCATCATCGCTGTTGCTTTCGCTTCCATATTAACAGAAACGCCCTTGGTTTAACATTTATAGCGCGCATTCGTTGGCATTTCACTAAATGACAAAGTAGGAAAAATTTCACATGTCTGCTAACCTGCGTTTCAGTGTAAAAAAAGGTTTAGAAACAACTGACAAGCAGAGATTGAATTAGACTGGTGCGAAGTTCCGTGTGATGCACTGACTATAGTGGGCGAGTGAGCAGTGGACCTATACGCTGAGGGAACGGGGCCAGTCTGGCGGGCTCATTTCACCCTTTATAGAAGAAGGTAAGATATAAATGCGTCTATTCGACATGTTTACAACTAAAGCGTCTCACCTCTCTAGTAGAACAGGAAGCCTATCGTCTTTAATTACATACTTGTCCGGGTCATCAACGGTCCGTTGCTTCAGCGAGCCCTGCAATGTTCATACCAGCTATTAACCTGTGCACACAGCACCCCGTCTCATGGATATTAATACAGCTAAGGCTTCGTCGATCATTAATTGCTGAACACAACGACAACAACATGAGCCAGAGGAGCATTATTCATGGAATAACTAGACGACATCCGAGGGAATGCCGGGTGAACTAAAGCTAAGAGAAGACATTAAAAACTTACAACTAGATGCACCCAGTCCACAGCGGAACTTACAACTAGATGCACCCAGTCCACAGCGGCACTTACAACTAGATGCACCCAGTCCACAGCGGCACTCACAACTAGATACACCCAGTCCACAGCGGAACTTACAACTAGATGCACCCAGTCCACAGCGGCACTTACAACTAGATACACCCAGTCCACAGCGGAACTTACAACTAGATGCACCCAGTCCACAGCGGAACTTACAGCTAGATGCACCCAGTCCACAGCGGCACTTACAACTAGATGCACCCAGTCCACAGCGGAACTTACAACTAGATGCACCCAGTCCACAGCAGAACTTACAACTAGATGCACCCAGTCCACAGCGGCACGGCAATCCTGGAAGATGGACTTGTATGACATTACCAAGTCTCCATCTCTCACTCCCTTCCTGTCAGTCAATCTGCAAAGGAATGAAGTAACATTGATGCGGTTTACAGATCTCTCGAACAGATTATCTGTCATTCCTTGTCTTCATTTCACGTGATGTACTCTGTATGTAAGCGAGTTCCTGCATGTGCAGTGTACAACCACATGTAATCTTGTATGTAAGCGAGTTCCTGCATGTGCAGTGTACAACCACATGTAATCTTGTATGTAAGCGAGTTCCTGCATGTGCTGTGTACATCCACATGTAATCTTGTATGTAAGCGAGTTCCTGCATGTGCAGTGTACATCCACATGTAATCTTGTATGTAAGCGAGTTCCTGCATGTGCAGTGTACATCCACATGTAATCTTGTATGTAAGCGAGTTCTTGCATGTGCAGTGTACATCCACATGTAATCTTGTATGTAAGCGAGTTCCTGCATGTGCAGTGTACATCCACATGTAATCTTGTATGTAAGCGAGTTCCTGCATGTGCAGTGTACATCCACATGTAATCGTGTATGTAAGCGAGTTCTTGCATGTGCAGTGTACATCCACATGTAATCGTGTATGCCTATTTGTACATGCTTGTATGCATATGTGTACCCATGATAAAATTAAATTAGCATTGTTCACATCATGAAAAAAACAGACCACGACGTGCAAAACGAACATAGTGCCAACACACGCAGTAAACACATAATAATGAATGTTTCAACAAAACGTTGTCACAACGCACGCGAAAAACAATCGCTCAACTTTCACATCCTCACACGATCACTCATTATGAGTTGCCATGGGAACCAAGAGATCAAACGGCAGGAGCCCAGCCACAGATGCTGGTGTCATTTGGAGTTAATTGCCTTGATATTGCCCATGGCACGTGCACATCCAACCATGGCAGCATTCACCAAACTCAATTAGTGGGAATGATCGGCAGTGATAAATGTCGAACGCAGGCTGGGGACTACATTACACAGCACAGCCACGTGTTTACATGTAACAAGAGGGTTATAGCATTAATTTACAGATAATGGTCGTCCACCTCTATTTATATTTACTTTAACTATCATTTTAACAGTCAAGCCACGCGTTTCAATGTAACAAGAGGTTTAGAACATTAATTTACAGATAATGGTCATTCACCTCTAGATATTCATATTTACCTTAACTATCGTTTAAAACAGTAAAGCCAGTTGTTCCCATGTAACAAGAGGTTTAGAGCTTTAATTTACAGATAATGGTCAACCTTTTTTTATTAACTATTTATTTTATTTTATACTTCCTAACTTACCTTTCGTACTTTTCACTGCAGTCAAAATAGTCTACTAAACAAGCCAGCAAGTATGTTTCTAAATAGAAGAAAAAACACATTTACATAAACAACTAACAGTTGCTAACCTAGGCTTCATCGTCACATGACACACACACGTTGTCTAATGTAGTAGGAAAACCAAAAGTATGAAGACTTATATGCATTTAGTCTGACAAACTACTACATAGATGTAGAAAATTCTGCAGCACGTAGCTTTATGAATAATTGCGTTACTATATATAATTTCCTAATAAAATGACAACTGCACAACAGATGCAGAGAAATAGTAATGGATTATGCAAAATGTTCTTAAAAATGTATATACTTAGTCCATGAGCCCAGAGCCCAAAATTGACATTTCATTACCAAGTTGGGGGGCAAATGCTATCATACATTTTCTGAAAGCCCTTGCTGTGTAGATCAATAAAATATGTGATAGCCTTATCAGATCGGTAGCTTAAGGGGGTCGCGTGACTTTAAAGTCAGTAATTTATGCAAATTTGGCTGATTTATGCTAAATCTTTAAAAAATTATATCCCGTTCTGATTGCAAGGTAATTCTGTCATCTCTTCAACTATTAGTTAGGTTTATGGTGAGGTTCATTTTTGCAACAAAGGTTTTTGATTATGGGATGTTGAAGTCACGTGACAATAATATTATTTCTCAAAAATACGTAAAATTATAGGAAAAGTATCATTATACTTTAAATGATCCACGAAAATGACTTAATATCCTACTAAAAACAATAATTAAGAATTTTGGATTTTATTATTAATAATCCTCACCGTTTTCTTTTGTATTTTCGTGACATTTGTAGGATTTATATAACATTTTATAAACCGGAAGTAGTTTTGGTCACCCTGTGGTAGAAACAGAGAATTCTAAAAACGTGTATTTTTCAATGATTACATTCATTTTACAAGATTTTACACTGTATACGTCACGAGCGGTTGACACACAGCGCGCGCGTGTGTGTGTGTTGTGTGTGTTGTGTGTGTTGTGTGCGTGTTGTGTGTGTGTGTGTGTGTGTGTGTGTGTGTGTGTGTGTTTGTGTTATATATGCATCATGCATCTAGAGCGCTATATGGTTATCGTTTATTGCATAAGTAATATAGATAATACCAGGAGTGAAACAATTTATTAATCACTCCTGATAATACGTGTATTAAACTTATCTGCAAAAGCACCGAAAGGCGCTGAATAATTAATTATTGCTTGCTTTATCGTAGAGAAGCACTATCAACGAAACTTGGTGCTTCCGATTGCTCGGTGATTGTATGGATCGTCGAAATTTCAACACTGTTGCCGTACTACTAATATATCAAGACTGCTTAGCGTACTTGTAAGCGCTCTCACAGTTATAAATAGCATAGTTAAACATTCCCGTCGCGACAGTAATTAATTTTGACAAAATTGTGCGTAATTTTACATTGTCAGTGCGATAAATTGAACAGTAATTTGTTGGTGATATTGCTGTTAATTGCTGTTAATCTTTATGCGCAATATTATCGTGAGCTTTCATTCACCCGTTCATTCATCCATTTGTCCGTCCATCCCTTCCGCCGTCCGTCCATCCTTCCATTCGTCCGTCCGTCCATCGTTCCATCCATCCGTCCGTCCGTCCGTCCGTCCGCCGGTCCGTCCGTCCGTCGTCGTCCGTCCGTCCGTCGCGTCCGTCCGTCCGTCCGTCCGTCCGTCCATCCATCCATGGCTTCTTCCCTCCGTCCGCCCGCCCGCCCCGAAGCCTGGCGGCTTTAAAGTCACGTGACCCCCTTAAGCTACCAATCTGACAAAGCTATCACATATTTTCTTGATCTACACACCAAGGGCTTTCAGAAAATGCATGGTAGCATTTGCCCCCAACTTGGTAATGAAAAGTTGTTTGGCTCATGGACTAACTGTACTTATAAATTCGTACAGGACAAGACAGTTTGATCAACTCACATCAAAGGTTACAGAACTGTTAAACTCACACTCAGAGATATATTAAAACTTGCACGAGGGTGAAATATCCAATTGCAGTTTAAAAGCAAATTGATTTTGTCACGTCAGAAGCCATCGTTCATCACGTGAATGACTGTCGTACCTGGAAGGTTGAACAGCGTGTTGAGAATGAAGATCCTACTTTGCTCAAACTTCATGAACTTATTAGGGTACAGCTCACGGATGACGTGCCTGCAACATGAAACACACCTGCCTGTCACACACCTGTCACACACCTGTCCTGCAACATGAAACACACCTGCCTGTCACACACCTGTCACACACCTGTCCTGCAACATGAAACACACCTGTCTGTCACACACCTGTCACAACCCGTGTCACACACTGTCCCTGCAACATGAAACACACCTGTCTGTAGCACACAGCTGTCACAACTGTTACACGCACACCTGTCGCTGCAACATGAAACACACCTGTCTGATCACACACCTGCTCACAGCACCCTGGTCCTGCAATCATGAAACCACACCTGTCTAGTCACACACTTGTCAAACACCTGTTCCTGCACATGGAACACAACCTGTCTGTCACACACCTGTCACCAGCCTTGTCCTTGGCAACATGAAACACACCTGTCTGTCACACACCTGCTCAACACTGTCACACACTCTGTCCTGCGCAAACAATGAACAGCAACCTTGTCTGCTCACACACTTGTCCCTGCCAACATGACACAGCCTGTCCTGGTCCACACACGCTGTCACACACCTGTCACAACACACTGTCACACAACTCTTGTCGCTGCAACATGAAACACACTCTGTCTGTCACACACCTGTCACAACACCTGTCCTGCAACATGAACAGCACCTGTCTGTCACGACGCTGCTTCACAACGACACGCTGTCTGCAAGCATGAAACACACCTGTCGTCACAGCACGCTGTCCGAACAATGATTATCGATTGCATCTACTAACTATATTCCATGCAAAAAAAAAACAAAAAAACATAGACTGTCGCCTGGAAGACCGGCTACGACGCTATTTTCTCTTCTAGAGTGAAACTACCTACGGTTTGAGAAACTTGAAGCCATGGCAGCAGACTAGGATGTTGCCATAGACATCCACCTTCAGCAGGTTGCCATATGTCTGGTCAAACCACAAGCCCCTGCAACATAAACGCTTAGCTTTACACCCGTGGCAGGCAAGTGCAATCTATGAGATTCAACGCGGATACAATCCTTTAACTGCTATCAAGAAGACACAAATGCAATCATTACACGCGGGAGACGCGTGTGTACCTTCCTTCACTCACTGTATTCACCGGCACGCGGCAGTGTGTGTGTGTGTTGCGTGACAACACCTGCGCGTGCAGCAGATGCACGCGATTTAACTTCGTTAATTAGCCTTCACAATGCCCATCACCCTGGTCATTCTCTTCCTCACAGACCTGCGTTCACTGACAACGCTGCTGCATTTAACGAAGATAGAAAGCTCGTAAGCAGTGTGAGTATACAGTAGAACGGGTTAGACGTAGACCGGTAGCCCGAGCTCGCACTTATACGAGCGAGGCCTTGCAAGCGTCGAGCATGAAAACGCACCCTGCACAATCGTTCTTTCACTGGCATTCACACGGCTGCTGCTGCACACTACAGCCCGCATTAACACCGCGATAACTCGATAGTTGCATGGGTTAGTGTATGATTGCGTTAAGTACTATATATAATGTCAGGGGTAGAAATTAAGGGGACTCCACTGCCTTTAAAAAGAGGGAGTCCGGCAACAACAATGAGGCGAGTCCGCAGTCCTGAAAGCTTGTCAAAACCTAAAGATATTATTTTAACAATAATGAAGGTGCTATTTTGAAGCATTCATGCAGTTGCACGTCTGCCAAATTCTCCTTTTTGGACATTTTGCTGAAAAATACAGGTAACTACCGCAAGGCGTGGCTCTGGAAGCGATCTTAGGTTAGTATTATAATAGGCAAAGAATATTTCAGCGAGTCACACGGACTCTGCCTGCATATGTCAAATCAGGGAGTCCCGACAGTAAATCAGGGAGTATTTGACTCCGCGCTCCGTTAATTCGCACCGTTGTAATGTAGTTGGTTAGTGTATGATTGTTTAATGGGATAAGTTATGCCTGAGAGGGTCTATGTCCCCTGCGGTAACTGCCGGAACGTTACCCTGGGTACGCGTCGGTATGCTACCCGAAAACGCTACCCTGGTACGTTCTAATATGCCCGGACCGTACTCGCCTACTGCCCTAACGAATTCTAGGTGAGTCAGCCTACACCTACTCCCTAAACCCTAACCCAAACCCGAACCTAATCCCCTAATCCCTAACCCTAACCCTAACCATATCAAATAGTGACCTCAGCACGTTCCGGTATACCGGACCGTACCAGGTTACGTTCGCAGTACCCTGGGAGACATAGACCCTATGAGCGATAGTTATATGGTCGTCTGCGCTAATGTTTCACCGGACACCGGGTTGTTACGGCGTACGCGCGTACCTTACTGGAAACGTCGGATCGTATTCAAAATCGCCGAGGGCGCTGGGATAACCGATCTCGCAGAGCCGCTCCAAAACCAGCTTGAAAGCGAGTGCTTCGTATTCCGGGCTCTTGTACACTGCAAACACGAAAACACACTCAGCAATCACGCGGCGTGGCAGCACTCTCACCGCGGCGGCGCGGCCGCACACACTCACCGCGGCGGCGTGGCAGCATCACTTCTCGCCTGCGGTCGCGTGGCACGCACACTCTCACCGTGGCGTGTTGCAGCACACTCTCACCGCGGCGGCTGGGCCGCCACACTCTCACCGGCGGCGGGAAGTCACGTGTCGGTTACGTTTCTCATAATGACTTGAAAATCACGCGATTCGAGGTACGTAAATCGATAATTGCGATCGATTTGAACACTTAAATGTAGATTCGTGTGCGACTGTTCGAATAATAGCTATCGATTTAGTTTGAAGGCATCCTTTCATTTGCTGTTGAATAATTTAGGCAGAGCAATGTTTCTCTATTATGCATGCAGCATTTATCACTGCAGGATTGATCGTGATAATGATGGCCATGATAAGGGGGAATAAAATTTTATTGACACTTGATGAAATTGGTTACTGGACATTAAGGCAATACGTCGATACATTGCGTGTCTAAATTAGCACGCTGGTAGACTGCAGGAATTACTAGCATGCTGGTAGACTGCAGGAATCTACTATAATTATTACTGTTTACCACAGCCAAGTCTAATTATTACAATGCTAATCACACACGCACGCACGCACGCACGCACACACGCACGCGCGCACGCCAGCACGCGCAACGCACGCACGCTCGCGCGCGCGCGCCTGCGCGCAACACTACGCACGCACGCGCGCACACACGCACGCACACACGGATCAGTACGCCACTCACACAACACACACACACACACACACACACCACACCAACACACACACACACACACACACACACACGAACGCATGCACGCACACATATAGGCCCTGGACTACCCGAGTTGAAATCAATACCCAATAAAATTTGATTATATTCACACAATCGCGGTCCTTGTGCACGGCCCCCATCACTACTCTTAGTTAAAAAAACGGGTTTTCCACGCAGCCGGAACGCCGCACGGTCTAGATTATTATTGGGGTTATTCCCATAGGCCTTAGCAAACTACACCACAGTGACCAGTGGCCGTAGCTAGTGATTTTTTCAGCGGGGGGGGGCGCACTGGGGCGGCCTTACTTTTCGCTGGGTGGGGCACTAATATATACTTTTTCTTTTATGTATACTGTCTCTAACGGCATTCGTTTTTAATTCAATTTTTTTTTCATCAAGCATGAATTTTCAGTGAGGGGGCACCTGGGCGGGGCCCACAAAAAATTTGTGGGGGCTTCGTGCCCTTCAGGCCCCGTAGCTTACCTGCACAGTGATTACCACCTTTCTAGACATTAAATTCATTGGGTAAGCGAAACGAGACATGAGAAGTGAGAGTACGGCGGTGTACGGCGCGTGTGCCACACGTTGCCTCTCTCGCTTTGCTGCGGGCGGGCATAGCTGCGGGGATCGAGGCCAGTTGAATCGACGACCACCGCAGCACATAACGCAATCGGCCCAGTCAGAATATATTCCTTAACAGCTGCTTGAGCAATTGCTGCTCACTGATAAGACAGTCGTGACACTGACATGTTACCGCCAGCCGCGTTGCTGGCATTCAATGCAGCGAACCAGCCCTGCCTGACTTCTGTGTGTCTGTCTCTCCAACTATGTGCTGTGTGTCGCGTGCGTGGGGGGCCGGTTTGGGGCGTTTGGCGCATGGCGTGCGCTGCGTGGCCAACTTGTTTTTGCCTTCTGTACGGTGTTGGCTGTCTGTAAATATGAGTATGTAATAATGACCATCTGTTGGGCCTCCATTTATTTGCATGTGTCAGATATTAGTGCCTGGGCACTAGTTTTAATTTCACAGTGTTACCTTGCCTCTTATTTCTCACACCGGAATGCGCTCTCTTCACCTGCCCCAACGGTGCTTTCTCTCCTCCCTCCCTCCTCCTCCCTCCGCTCTCCTCCCTCCCTCCTCCCTCCCTCCCTCTTCCTCTCTCCTCTCTTCCCTTCGCTCTCTCTCTCTCTCCCTCTCTCTCTCTCTCTCTCTCTCTCTCTCTCTCTCGCTCTCTCTCTCTCTCTCTCTCCTCTCTCCTCTCTCTCTCTCTCTCTTCTACGCCCCCCGCGTATCTTTCTCTCCTCTCTCTGCTTCTCTCTCTCTCTCTCTCTGTCTTCTGTTCTCTGTCTCTGTCTCTGGCTCTCTGTCTCTGTTCTCTTGTCTCTGTCTCTGTCTCTGTCTCTGTCTCTGTCTCCTGTCTCTGTCTCTAGTATCTGTCTCTGTCTCTGTCTCTGTCTCGTCTTGTCTCATGGGTCTCTGTTCTCGTGTCTCTGCTCTGTCTCTGGTCTCAGTCGTCTCTGTTTTCCCCCATTTCTTTGGTTCCTCTGTCTCTGCCTCTCTGTCTCTGTCTCTGTCTCTGTCTACTGTCTCTGTCGTCTGTCTCGTGTCTCTGTCTCTGTCTCTGTCTCTGTCTCTCTCTCGTTCTCTCTCTCTCTCTCTCTCTCTCTCTCTCTCTCTCTCTCTCATCTCTCTCTCTCCTTCTCTCTCTCTCGTTCTTTCTTCTCTCTCTCTCTCTCTCTCTCTCTCTCTCTCTCTCTCTCTCTCTCTCTCTCTCTCTCTCTCTCTCTCTCTCTCTCTCTCTCTCTCTCTCTCTCTCTCTCTCTCTCGCTCTACCTTCTCTCCCCCTTTCATCTCTCTCTTTTCTATTAGTTTCATCTTTGGCTTGGCTTTTATCTCACTCTCTTTTAATCCCTAATTCAATACTATCTACACTGCAACTATTTTTATCTCCTTGTCCATTCTACACTAAATAGACAATTCGATAAAAAAGCAGTTTCTGCTAAAACACTGCGGGAAACCCATCATCCGCAACAAATCGGCACAAAGTGTTCACTCGCGCAGAACGCGAAATAAGTTCCACAAAGACTGCGAGATCTCAGGGTTACAGTGGCTTCTCAGAACGCTAGCGGGCAGATGCATATACATCTGGCTCCACACGCAATTACTGCATACCACATTCACTGAGATCCCCTCAGAGCATTCCCGTATATCGGGGCAAAAACGAAATTGCATGGCTACGCAGAATTGAACAAATAACGTTAAATCATTAACGTAATCTTGCCAACCACTAACCAGCAAATCACACGCAGCTTTTACACGAACGGGGGAAAACAACCCAAGAGTCAGCGTGGAATTTAGGTCTGTGAAGAACATTTTTTTAACTGGCTGACACTTTCCTCAACCAATGTCGATTGTTTCAAACATAAACATGAAATTTGACTTTGACTAAAGATCTACCAGGAAACGCTGCAAGATGAGCCGTGGTGTCCTGACGACTCCTGTACATCCGTTCATATCAATATCATTACCTAACCAAAGCAGAGCAGCATTAGATTTTGTTTTTATAAAACTCAAATACGTTTTTTTGTCATCGGCAACAGTAAAAGAAATATTAAATCTATTTAAATTATAGCTAAATTTTCAGCTACAACAACAACAAATCATAGTAAACCAAGTTACAATTTTTTTTTAAAAGCTTGACGTATACCAGTAGAAACCGTGAACATTGAGATTGAAAATATGTGCGTACACAATTGCACCAATAGGAATTATTTACCAAGCAGACAGCACTGTAGATTCTATGAAAAAATTCTATGAACACGGGTTTTTACAAGTTCAGCCGATGGTTACCCGAATCCAAATTCACCCCAAATAAGAACATAAAACACATCCAATATTAACCCTTACCCTCAAAGCATGTTAACTATCATTTTACAAACCCACACATCAAAAAGATCAGTTAATCACGCCAAAGGATTTGATTAATGTAGCAAAAATGATTGCGTCTAACTTCAAACCGCGTGTTTTATAAATGAGCGTACCAGTAATTAGATTTTGCATGACCTGCAGAATGCATTCCTACATAGACTTCCCTTTTCTTCTCTGCAATGCGTGTTCCTTCTTGCATGCTTGAAAATGTTTTGCTGTACGCTACGGTATTTTCGTACATATCTCATTCACTGCAGTCTGGCTTGTCATTATAATTACATAACTGCCTTCATCGTATATTATCACTGTTTATGTTATATCACTGTATAATGTATATCACTGTATATCACTGTATATCACTGTATATCACTGTATATCACTGTATAATGTATATCACTGTATATCACTGTATAATGTATATCACTGTATATCACTGTATAATGTATATCATTGTATAATGTATATCACAGTATAATCACTGCTTATATCACTGTTAATCACATGTCTATCAAGATTGTCTTATAACCGCCTCATATTAACTTTAACACATCCATACAAGAGTAGCTAAGCATATACGAGTTCATCACTTATTATTGATATAACAAATAACGTACACCATAATATAAGGATGTAACCACCGATTATAGCCGTAAAAATGAGCGTAAGTAAATATATTTGACCTGGTTTTGTAATTTTTACCGTAATGCAGTTCGCCTCTGTGAACTCACTAATATATTTCCATCAGCAGCTGTGGTGAGGAGGTGGAATGAGACCTAATTCCTAACCAGCTGGTTGCTGCTATTTATGATCAAGCTCAGCTGAGATGTTTTACCACGTGTTTCTTATACAAGCCAAGGAGCTCTATGTACATCTTGATGTTCATCTAGCTGCTTGATGCTCGCCCCACCGCCACCCTGGTAGCGGCTTTATAAACACCGACAATCTGACGTCTATGATGAACTTCCTTCACGTTTGTTGCGTTAGCGTGTTTTCAGTAACGGGAAGCATAAACACCATGAGAATCATTGCTGAGAAGCATTGATGAATTTAGGCCACAATACAGCATTTCACTCGCCTGTTGTGTCCTGTTTATTTCCTATTTACACACACACACGTGCGCGTGAACGCATACACGCACACAAACACGCACGCGCGCGCACACACACACACCAAGCAGACAGCACTGTAGATTCTGAATTGAAAAAAAACGAAATTTTGCTTGAATTATTACGCAGTCTCTGTGAAACTGCTGGAATTCCCACACAGAATTACATTTCTTGTCTCAAAAACAGATCGAATTCTGGTAAAATAATAATAGGTACGTTGCACAGTACTGAATATAGACAACAAGACTGTGTGAAACACTTTGTAATACCGAAATACCGTAAGATCGTCGCAAATTACTTTGCAAATTAAAATGTCTGTCTAATTGCATGCAGCTACCGTTACTACGATCTATTTTGAGACAAGTTAGTTACTGACTGAGGACTGTTACTGAGGATTGTTACTGAGGACAGGGGATTTTCCTTTTTTTTGCGTTCGATTGCTACAGATTACATCCTGCAGTTCTTTGCAAAGTTAACGGATCTTAATACGAAGCAGATTTTCAGTATTAATCCAAGTACACGCAATCCACACATCAATACCACGATCAATTTCTATTCGTAACACATTTGCTGGACATTTCTTTCATCAGGTACATACATGTACGGAATCCCTACACCGACAGCAGCATGGCATATAATAACATCAGAGGAGAGGCAACATCTTATAACGACAACATCACGCAATCCGACGAAGAAAAAAATGCCTGAAAGCCCAAAACGGATGCTTACCAGCGAGAGTGTAGTCCATGTCGAAGCCAAAGTACCTAATCTTATTCAGGTGTAGACTCCTATTGACAAAAACCCTGCGAATCAATAAGAAGGCATGACGTTAGTTAGATCACGGCATTTCTCTCTGTAAGCAACACTAACCCCACACACACACCCACCCCCATCCACCCACCCACCCACACCCACACACCCCCACCCACCACCACCACACCCACACCCACACACCCACACACACACACGCACGCACGCACGCACGCACGCACGCACGCACACACACACAC